CTGACTGGGAGGTTAATGACAGGCAGGAGTGACTGTGACGTACCTGCACTGAAGTAAAGGTGGGCAGGGGAGGAGAGCCTGGTCTGGGCCCCAGGGCCGGCAGCCCTCCCCCTCCAGGGGCCTGAGTCCCGTTACACCTGTGGGTGCAGCATCGGGCGGAGCCAGTGCCCTGGCCACGCCCCCTGGGGCCTCCCCAACACTTGGGTCAACAAGCATTCTCCACTGGGAGTGTGTCCTGGGCTCAGGGTGCGCCTCACCCAAGGGGGCCACATGTTCCCTGGGATGTCACACGGCCAGCCTGGGAAGGCACGGGGTCAGAGTCAGGACCTCGAAGGGCAGGCAGTCCCTGGCTGAGTGCCAGCAGGCATGGGGCGACTTCCCCAGGGCTGTGACCAACCTCACTGGGAGTAATCCAGTAAAACCTGTGAAAGCTGGAACCTGGGTGAGGCGGAAACCTGTCAGAGAAGGAAACTCAGATTCTTTCCACAAATAGAGACAGAAAAGAGGGAAGGCTGCACCTGTCAGAGTGGAAAACCCTTAGACCCGGACAAACACGGGAGTGCAGTTGGGGCCGGCCTCACAGGTTCACTGCACAAAGGCTGGAGCCCACAGAGGACGGCATGGGAAGCTGGGTCCCTCAGCGGGGCAGGTCTGTCTGTCCTTCCTGAGCACACACTGGGGAAGGCTCTGCACACAGGGGCAGGGGCAACAGCCTCAAAACGCCACGTGTGTACACCCGGTGTCCTGGAGCCCTGAAGCACGTGTGCGCATGTGGTGTCCCGGAGCCCTGAAGCAGGCAGGGAAGCACCACCAGACCACCACATGTGTGCATGCGTGCACACACACACACACACACACACATACATATACATGGGACCCTTCAGGGGCATCGAAGCATGATACCCTGCCTGGAGTGAAGAGTCATGAACGTGCCAGTGTCCTAGAACCTGCTGGGGGCCCCGGGCTCCGTGCTGTCCCTTCCTACAGAAGGCAGTCCCACATCACACACCCAGGTGGAGGGCAGTTGGCCTGGCTCACGTGACCCGGAGGTGGGCGGAGCACCTCGTGTGCAGCCGCACCCAGGGTGTCAGGGAGTGGAGACAAGGACCCCACGTGAGGAAAACATCCTTTCCTCGAGTCTGGTGGCATGTGGCAGCTCTTTACCTGGGATGTGCTGGGGCACAGTGAAGGTGCCCAGCCACCCAGTGGGCAGGTGGGAAGGGCCGATCCTGCATGGCTCCCACCCCACCTCCACTGAGAATCGGGGCCCTGGCACCCACCTCCACTGAGAACCGGGGCCCTGGCATGTTAGTCGGGTGGCCAGTCCATCGCCAGGCATGCCGCCATCCCCGCTGAAGGCCCTCCAACAGCAAGACTGAGACAGATGAGGCCAGTAACACGACAGTGGCGTTTCTGTTTCCCACCAGAAGAGCTGGGACGCAGTGCTGTTTTCTGCCATTTGTTGGCTGTGTGATTCAGACCAACTAACTCCACGCCAAGGAGCTCTGGTAGCGCTGTGGTTAAAGCACTGGGCTGCTAATCAAAAGGTCACAGTTCAGATTGCCAGGGACTTGAGGGAGAAAGATGAGCGGCTGCTTCTGTAAAGATGCCAGCCCTGGAAGCCCTCTGGGACAGTCCACTCTGTCCTTTAGGGGTGCTGAGCCCGAGCGACTCACCGCTGTGGGTGTGACTTGATGGTGGCTGAATTGGGGCAATGTATTTCCGGAGCGACACTGCCTCGGAAGCCCAAGGAGGAGTCGCTATGAGTCAGAGCCAACTCGCCGGCAGTGCGTTTGGTTTGGTTTGTGTGTAAGTTCAGGAGGAAGACCTCGTGACCTGCTCCTGTACAGATGACAGCTTAGAAACCTACGGGTGGGTCTGCTCCGTCACATGGGTCACTATGAGCTGGAGTCAACGCGCCAGTTGTGGGTGGGGTGCTGGAAACGCTAACCCCTCAGTACTAGAGGAAAGGCTGCAGGTTCAGGCCTACCCAGGGGCCCCTGGGAAGAAAGGACCGTCCACATACTTCCAACCCATCAGCCACTGGGGACCGGATGGAGCTGGTTCCACTCAGCCACATGTGGGCCACCACGAGTCAGAGCTGGCTCCATGGCATCCGTTGTTTTCTGTGCAAATTACTGAAAACACGTGCTGCTGTATTCCACAGAAGGTGAGCGGTCATCCCTGCTCAGACACACGGTCCGGTGTAGACAGGAGACTAACTGAACACTTATGAGCCTGGTAAAGAGCCCTGGTGGTGCAATGGTTAATGTGCTCAGCTGCTAACCCAAAGGCTGGGGGGCACCTTGCAAGACAGGGCTGGCCATTCACTTCCAAAAAATCAGCCACTGAAAACCATATGAGGCACCGTCGACGCTGTCCCGTGGGGCCGCCAGGGGTCGAAAGGGACCTGCAGGCAGCCAACAGCGGCAAGGACAGGCTGCCCTGAGTCAGTGTACAGGCTTACAGCGTGAGGCGCCAGAGACACCATCAGTGAAAAACAACTTTAGAGACTGTGGGGCGCCTTCCAGGTGTACCACGGCCCGCTCCTCCGTGGCCAAGTTCTTGCTCTCTTGCCCCCAGCTGCTGCCTTGGCCTGCTCCCATTTCACGGCGCTCACAGCCGGCCAGGTTTCCCAGTGGAGCATGGCCATCCTGTCACTCAGAGCTCTCACACCTTGAGTGGACCCCAATGCCAGCTGAAAAAACGCAAACTCAGAAGCCTCCACGCACCTCTCCATGCAGCAGCCGAGAACCACTCCCCACTGCCCCACACTCTTGGTGATGACGTCAGCAGCCCCAGCGAGGACATGGGGACCCAGGGAGGAAGTGGGAAGAGAGCTGATACAGGGAGGGACTGCAACCAGGGTCATGAAACCAAACGTTTATGACGTGTTGGATGGAGACCAGTGTGCTCCGTAAACCTCCCCCAAACCACCATCAAAAAAAGAGGAGTTGGGGGGCTATTCACAGCAATATTAGTCATCTTAAATATTTCCAAACATACGGTTATTCTATTAAATAGACAAAGCATGAACCACACCCACTGTCGTGGAGTGGATTCCAACCCACAG